AAAAAGAATGTTTCCAATTATTATCACTAGAAACATTTCGTAAGGTCTCAGCAGTCTCATATATTTAACATTTCTCTGGAAAGTAAGTTTGCCCTTTGCTGTTTTGTTTTTGTCGGTCATTCTTGTGAAATACAGCAGCCATTTTCAATGTAAGCTTCACTTATGTAACATGAGGTGACCCTACATTTTTATAAATGACTCCAACCATTGATTGACAGTAGGAGTAATCAAAATGGTTGACAAAGGAAAACTCAGAAGAACTTGAGTCCAGCAATCACGGCAATAATTCTTCAAAACACTCCTCAAAAGGACACAAGACACAACACTCTTGAGCACAAGGACATGTACTTGTCCCCTCTCCTTCACTCAATGTTGATTTTAAGATTTATATTTTAGGCATAAACTTCTTTAAAAAAGAAACAAGAAAAATAATTTATTATGATCGAGACTGAAGGTCCTCATTATTGCCTCTACATGTAACTAAGTGGTTAGATCACCCAATCAGTATCTGGGAGGTTGCAGGTTCATAGCATATTAAGCATTATTTATTCCCTGAGCTCAAATTGTGTTGTGTTTTTTTTTGCATTGCCAGCCAGTTTCTTTCTACTAGACAACAACCAAAATGTTTTCCAAGACATTTTGCCCAATATATTTCTATTAAACATTATTTTGAAGTCATCATCTAATCTTCGCTTAATCCATCCCTGATCCTACCTAATCCATGCAATGGTTTGTCATTTAATGGTCTTTTCCAACTACTGCCAGTTGCTTTATTGCAGATTAAAATGATGTTTTATAAATCAGTTAAATTAAAACCATATTAAAATCTAGCCATCACGTCTCATTTTCAAGTTTTGTAAGTTCTGTTTGTCAGTATTGTAAGTTTTAATTTTTTATTTCATTTTTATCATTATTATTATTATTATTATTATTATTATTATTATTATTATACTATTATTATTATTATTTTGTTTTGTTTTGGCATATTTGATCTCTCACATATTTATACACGTACATGTCACATACAAAATTTGTATCTTTATAATTATTAACAAAGAAATTATGACATTGTGCAGATTGCTTCACTAAGGTGCAGGAGTGCTTGATACAAAATAATACATACAGATGACGATCGTTTACTGTGTGACACTTACGTAAAAGTGTTACAGTTTTCAACCTTTAAATCTGTATGTATGTATATTGATATAAATTTATTATGCCCCTTTATAATTTGTAAATCAGCAGTTTCATCTTTTTAATCATAGGCAGCTTAAGTAAACATAATAAATTTAAGCTTATAGTTTAAATATAACAATAGGCTTAAAGCATTAAAATTCTTACAAATTAATTTCAATTTCTAAGGACTAATAAAGCAGCATTCCATCACATATTGAGATACCTGTATTGCTATACATCTTAATTCACCTGGACTCTTCACTTTGCAAATAGTCGTATACACGATGTGTTAGAAAAAATATTTAATGCATGTGTTGCACTCTCCTCAGGAACTAAAAATATTTATGATTCTTCATGTCTGTCATTAAAAAAAGATTATCGATGATGAACTCTAGATCATAACCAACGTAACTAGAAACAAACATTAAAAGGAACTCGTTCTGATATTGCTTAAAATGTTTATAAAGGGCAGCTCAATAACAAAAAAATTGCAACAGTCTTACTCTTACGGAACGAATTTAGCTTTAGAAGGGAAATAACTGGCCAGATCAGCAAATGATCAGCTGTTAATCTTCTTCATAATATTTTTACATCGCTATGTACTTACCACAACAGTGGAGGAAGGAGCTTCATCGAAAATTTTTTGCAGCTGTTCAAGTCTTAGTGACTTTCTTTCCATAACCTTCCCCTAAATGTCCTTGTTTCTCGAAATGTCTGTGGGCAATTTTTTTACCTCAAAACAACCTCCATTTTGATGTAAATAACACTGAAATCCTGTACTCCTCATTTTCACAAAAACAACAAAACCCAGCTTGAGTTATCTTGCCCATTAGACATGTCAAAGTGTCTTTGAAGTTCAATGCAACTTCAAGATCAGACATCTTTGTCTTCTCATGACCACATTGTGACAATTAATTTACTATTAATAAATGTTGACACGAAAAAAACCAATTGATGTTAAGTTTAGTTTCGTTGCATAAGTTTCTATCCTTGGCGAATGACCAAAGAAGGATCACATTTCCTTGGGAAAACAAAGATCTGTGGCAAGAGACAATTTAAAGTAACACAAGAGTGTAAGATTATCCTTTGTAATCCAGGGTAGCCATGGAAATACCCACTATTTTAAAAGAGGGGTCAATGATCCATGTCGTGACCCTTTCTAACCCTCAAAGCCCCAGAAAAGACCAAATCAATTTTCTCCTAACAATTATCCATACATCCTCAAGAGAAAAGGTAACAAGAATTAATAAAATTGTTGCCAAAGGGAAATGCTTTGATCTATTATCAAATGCTCTCACTTAGTACTTTAAGGAAATTTATGCATGGAGATCAGGCTGGATTTTGTATGTGGATATGGGAGCTTTTTTATTTTTTGAATCACAGGGCTGTCACGCGATATAAACCCGGAAATGACATACTGTACTTAGAAGGCAACAAAGCCACCGGAAAAAAAAAAACCTGGCATGTAGTGGTGTACAGTGCAGTCTTGCTGGTCTACTGAAGGGAAAATCTTTCAGCACTGATGTGCTTCTATCAAAAGAAACTTCAATCACATTAATTGCCACTCAAACTGAAAATCTGTTTTTTGGCCACCCATGTACATGCACACACAGAAAAAAAAGAATGTTTCCAATTATTATCACTAGAAACATTTCGTAAGGTCTCAGCAGTCTCATATATTTAACATTTCTCTGGAAAGTAAGTTTGCCCTTTGCTGTTTTGTTTTTGTCGGTCATTCTTGTGAAATACAGCAGCCATTTTCAATGTAAGCTTCACTTATGTAACATGAGGTGACCCTACATTTTTATAAATGACTCCAACCATTGATTGACAGTAGGAGTAATCAAAATGGTTGACAAAGGAAAACTCAGAAGAACTTGAGTCCAGCAATCACGGCAATAATTCTTCAAAACACTCCTCAAAAGGACACAAGACACAACACTCTTGAGCACAAGGACATGTACTTGTCCCCTCTCCTTCACTCAATGTTGATTTTAAGATTTATATTTTAGGCATAAACTTCTTTAAAAAAGAAACAAGAAAAATAATTTATTATGATCGAGACTGAAGGTCCTCATTATTGCCTCTACATGTAACTAAGTGGTTAGATCACCCAATCAGTATCTGGGAGGTTGCAGGTTCATAGCATATTAAGCATTATTTATTCCCTGAGCTCAAATTGTGTTGTGTTTTTTTTTGCATTGCCAGCCAGTTTCTTTCTACTAGACAACAACCAAAATGTTTTCCAAGACATTTTGCCCAATATATTTCTATTAAACATTATTTTGAAGTCATCATCTAATCTTCGCTTAATCCATCCCTGATCCTACCTAATCCATGCAATGGTTTGTCATTTAATGGTCTTTTCCAACTACTGCCAGTTGCTTTATTGCAGATTAAAATGATGTTTTATAAATCAGTTAAATTAAAACCATATTAAAATCTAGCCATCACGTCTCATTTTCAAGTTTTGTAAGTTCTGTTTGTCAGTATTGTAAGTTTTAATTTTTTATTTCATTTTTATCATTATTATTATTATTATTATTATTATTATTATTATTATTATACTATTATTATTATTATTTTGTTTTGTTTTGGCATATTTGATCTCTCACATATTTATACACGTACATGTCACATACAAAATTTGTATCTTTATAATTATTAACAAAGAAATTATGACATTGTGCAGATTGCTTCACTAAGGTGCAGGAGTGCTTGATACAAAATAATACATACAGATGACGATCGTTTACTGTGTGACACTTACGTAAAAGTGTTACAGTTTTCAACCTTTAAATCTGTATGTATGTATATTGATATAAATTTATTATGCCCCTTTATAATTTGTAAATCAGCAGTTTCATCTTTTTAATCATAGGCAGCTTAAGTAAACATAATAAATTTAAGCTTATAGTTTAAATATAACAATAGGCTTAAAGCATTAAAATTCTTACAAATTAATTTCAATTTCTAAGGACTAATAAAGCAGCATTCCATCACATATTGAGATACCTGTATTGCTATACATCTTAATTCACCTGGACTCTTCACTTTGCAAATAGTCGTATACACGATGTGTTAGAAAAAATATTTAATGCATGTGTTGCACTCTCCTCAGGAACTAAAAATATTTATGATTCTTCATGTCTGTCATTAAAAAAAGATTATCGATGATGAACTCTAGATCATAACCAACGTAACTAGAAACAAACATTAAAAGGAACTCGTTCTGATATTGCTTAAAATGTTTATAAAGGGCAGCTCAATAACAAAAAAATTGCAACAGTCTTACTCTTACGGAACGAATTTAGCTTTAGAAGGGAAATAACTGGCCAGATCAGCAAATGATCAGCTGTTAATCTTCTTCATAATATTTTTACATCGCTATGTACTTACCACAACAGTGGAGGAAGGAGCTTCATCGAAAATTTTTTGCAGCTGTTCAAGTCTTAGTGACTTTCTTTCCATAACCTTCCCCTAAATGTCCTTGTTTCTCGAAATGTCTGTGGGCATTTTTTAGCCTCCCTCGATTTCCGCTGAAGCTAATACTGAAATATTGCAATGCCTTCCGCCATCTTACTCTTCGAGATATCACGTGACAAAATAAATGTAGAACTTGGAATTTTCTAACAACAACGCTGATTGGAGAAATTTTCATAAGCCAATTAAAATTGTCGTAATATCGTCCACGTACACTTCTTTCCATTGCCGGCGTGTTGGGATTTCACTTAGCTTATGCAACATCTTTAGGAGAGTTTCTTTTCAATATTTTACGCTTTCCTTTAGCGTTGTTAAGAGCAGTCAAGGCAAAAATAGTCATTATGCCTGTGAGTAGCTCTTCAGCGAACAAATTTACAATTCTATACGGATCCCAGACTGGCCAAGCCAAAGCGATCGCTGAGGAAATTCACGAGTTCTCAGAACAACATGGCCTTTACTCGAACTTGTTTTGCCTCAGTCTTACCGAGAAAAAATTCACGCTGGAGAAAGAATCACTAGTTGTTTTCGTGGTTTCCACAACGGGAGAGGGTGATCCGCCAGACACAATGTGTAAATTCATGAGGAGATTGAAGAAAAAGACTCTTCCTGGAACACATTTGCAAAATTTGCATTATGCTCTCCTTGCCCTGGGCGATACCAACTACACGAACTTTTGCAACAACGGCAAAGTATTGGACAAAAGGTTACTGGAACTAGGGGCTCAGAAGTTTTACTCTACCGGGTATGCCGATGATGCAGTTGGACTTGAACTGACAGTGGAACCATGGATAGAGGGATTATGGGGGGCTTTACAAAATCACCTAGGCTTGCTACTACCAGAGAGTGAAAGTCAGCAAGACAGCAAGAGCACAGCTGCAGACACCAGTTGCAATGAAAATAGGGTTATCAATGGCGATAACAAATCTTCTGAGAGTAGCCTGGACTGTGATGGTAAGACTACAGTTCAAGAGACCAGTCACACCAAAGACATAGCTATCAGTGGTGTGAGCAATTCTTTCAATATGGCTTATACCAAAACGTTACAAAAAGAAAGTCAGGATTCGAGCAGTAAGACTACAATAGTGGAGATCAATGATCCCAAAGATCAGGTAGTCCATGGTGAAAACAACTCTTCACATGAAACCAATGGCAAGGTTACTGCAGATACTAACAATGGTGTCAACCACATAACAGATCCTTACAATGGTGTGAAAAGTAATAATTCTAAACTAAGCAACTCAGATGGCTTATCCTCTCCTAGATTAGCTGATCAGCTGAAGCAATCTACTGCTCCTTTATCATCCTCTGCACTATCTATACCACAGCTTCCACCATCCTATCTAGAGCTGTCATACCATCCCGAGCTTAAACTTGACTGTACTTCATTGCCTTTACATAATGGCTCAAGTTTTCCAAGTGCCGTCTCTGATGTCTCCATGGCAACTGTGGTATCTGCAGAAAAGCTTACGAGTGAGAACTCCATCAAGACTGCGCTGGACTTAGAGCTTGATGTCACTGGTTGTAATATGAGTTACGAACCAGGTGACTCTTTTGGCATTGTTTGTCCAAATCCCAGTGCTGAAGTAGAGGAACTGATTGGAAAGTTAGGGGTAACAGAGAAAGCTGATACACCTTTTTCCATCCAGCTGATAAGTTCCACAACCAAGAAGGGAGCTAGTCTACCAGACTTCATTCCACAGTGTTCAACAATCAGGCATACACTACTGACAAGCTTGGAGATCAGAACTGTTCCAAGCAAAGCCCTCTTAAGAGTCTTATCTGAGCACACCACTGAACCTCAAGAGAAGAGAAGGCTTCAAGAACTCTGCAGTAAACAGGGTGCAAGTGATTACAGCAGATTGATCAGGGAACCTGGGTTATCCTTGTTGGACCTTCTTAATGCTTTCCCTTCATGTCAGCCACCCTTTGAAAGATTGCTTGAACTGCTACCGAGATTGAAGGCACGACCTTACTCAGTGTCAAGCTCACCACTTGAAAATCCAACTCGTCTTCATTTTGTGTTTAACATTGTGGAGTTCCCAGCTGTTGAAGAGATCAGGGAACAAAGACAAGGCATTTGCACTGGTTGGCTAAGTGATATTACAAAATCCCTGTGGAGAAACAAAGATATAAGCAACAAGGAATTGCCAGAGCGCTTTGCTAAGATGGCTCTTCAGGAGGTCCCTCAAATTCCAGTATTCCAGAGAAAACGGTTAAACTTCAAACTGCCCAACTCTCCAGAGACACCAATAGTCATGATTGGGCCTGGCACAGGTTTGGCACCATTCATAGGTTTTCTACAACACAGGGACCTTATGCAGAAGGCAGGAGGCAAAGTAACACATCTCTCTGAAGCATGGCTGTTCTTTGGCTGCAGGCACAGGGAAAGAGACTACCTCTACCAGGACAAGCTGGAGTACTATTTATCAACTGGTGTTTTGTCACGACTGTTCCTTTCCTTCTCTCGTGATACTACTGATGGTTTCCAAGGTTATCCCCCTCCCAAGTATGTTCAAAACAACTTGAGACGTCATGCTGTTGATGTAGCTAAACAAGTCTTCGAGAAAGGAGCTGTTGTGTATGTTTGTGGTGATGCCAGGAACATGGCTAAGGATGTATATGATACTTTCCTTGAAATAGTTCAAGAGTACAAGGGCCTGGGTATTGCAGAAGCAAGACAAGAAATGATGAAACTGCGTGATCAGAAGCAATACCTTGAGGACATATGGACTTGAGTGATAAAATATCACTAGGACAGAACTGTTTGTGTTGTAACCTGAGAAAATAATTTAAACTTGAGGGGGTCTTTGTTGGTTTATGAGGACTGGAAGACAGATGATATTGATATCAATATGCATCTTTTTGACTCAACACTCTGAGCACTCCTACATAGTGTAGTGCTGATAAGACAGTTTATAAAATCAAGACATTGATCGTTATCCTCTGACATGTCTATTGTGTTTGGTTAATTAACAATTACTCCTCGAGCCTGAATGGGCTCTGAGTCAATAGCTCATGAGACGAAGGCCAAAAATAATTTAATGGGCTATTGACTCAGAGGCCATGAGGGCAAGAGGANCGTCATGCTGTTGATGTAGCTAAACAAGTCTTCGAGAAAGGAGCTGTTGTGTATGTTTGTGGTGATGCCAGGAACATGGCTAAGGATGTATATGATACTTTCCTTGAAATAGTTCAAGAGTACAAGGGCCTGGGTATTGCAGAAGCAAGACAAGAAATGATGAAACTGCGTGATCAGAAGCAATACCTTGAGGACATATGGACTTGAGTGATAAAATATCACTAGGACAGAACTGTTTGTGTTGTAACCTGAGAAAATAATTTAAACTTGAGGGGGTCTTTGTTGGTTTATGAGGACTGGAAGACAGATGATATTGATATCAATATGCATCTTTTTGACTCAACACTCTGAGCACTCCTACATAGTGTAGTGCTGATAAGACAGTTTATAAAATCAAGACATTGATCGTTATCCTCTGACATGTCTATTGTGTTTGGTTAATTAACAATTACTCCTCGAGCCTGAATGGGCTCTGAGTCAATAGCTCATGAGACGAAGGCCAAAAATAATTTAATGGGCTATTGACTCAGAGGCCATGAGGGCAAGAGGAATAATAAAAATTATTGTTGTAGTAAAATCCAACTATTTGGTCAAAAATATCGAGACAAAACAACTTTAGCTAGCAAAACGCAATTCAGTCACCATAGTTTTTGGTTTTCAAAGCCGGCTCTTTTCGCTACTAGCTACTAGTAGTAGCTCAACCAATCAGAACGCAGCATTGGTAATAGACCACTAGTTGGATTTTACTAAGCAGCAATAGTCACAAAAGCTGCGAGAAATAATTCAGTTATGGTCACTCTTATGGCTTGAAGGTTGAAGGTATTAAAATCTGGAGAGATGAAAATCACTGCACTTCAATATATATGTGAAAAAGTTCTTGTTACTTTTGACTTCACAATGGCCTACATCTTTACTTTTGGTAAATTAGCATACATGATCTTACAAAGTAATGTTGATACTTTCCAAAGAAAAAGAAAACTATCAATCTCAATCAGCACACTTCATCACCCTCCATGCCAATTTTCAAGAGTGTCACAGAAAGAAAAAATCTGATTTCAAGTTTTTATGGATTTGGGGGTACTGTCTTACAATTTGTGACGAGTAGGCATTTTAAACCACGTTTGAGGCTCAACTTTGACAGTATTTAACTGAATATCCACAAGCTTGATGGAAGTTACTACTGATCTTATTGTGATCTTTCTAAGATGTATGGAGACCTCGTCTTTTTATTTTACTTGTTGAAATGTAAGAAATCAATGTAAATAAGAGCAATAACCTTGTTGATGAGTAACATGACCTTCTGAAGTTGATTATAATAGACATACTTGTAGAATTATGCATAAAAAGAATGCAACATGCAGCTTTAAGGAAGGGGCCTAATTTTCAGATTATCACATGGACATTTGACAGAATATTGAAAGACAGATGGTCCAGAAATACTGATGAGACTATACGAAGTACATCTAACTTATTGAAATGGTTTCCTTTTTAAAATCCTTCATGAACAGGAACCATACTAATCTAAACTCAGGTTTTAACAGGTAATTGCTGGCTTTCTGGGAGAACAGCTAATATGCTGAAGGAAGCAGGCTAAAAAAGCACCAGCTACTACAAAAAGGTTGTGTTACACAAATCCATTATCTTTTTACTTAATTTAAGTTAACTTGGAAATTGCAAGGCTGGCTAGAAAAAGCCCCAATAAATGATTGATTTTTAATAGACTGTTTGATTCTCAACCTTTTTTCATGCTCTCTCTCAGTGAGGTAGTTTTACTGCATTTTCAGTACCAGATAATTTCCTTAATGGTTCTGAAATTTTAAGGTCAATTTTCAGCTGGCCAAATTCTCAGATGCCACAACTGATAAATGAGGGTCAACAACGAAAAGTACCACAGGCAACTCTCCTTGAATGTCAGGGTTGAAATGTAAACTGGCAGTTTATTCAGCAACTCAAAAGACTTACAAATAGGTTCTACTTGTTACTATAGTAACTTGCTCTCTCCCTGAGCACAAACTAACACCTGGGAACAGCTCTTGTCCGCGTAGCCCTTTACAGAATGCTGTACCCATTTCCTGTCCATTCTTCATAAACCCAAGAGTCCCTTTATCTAGGTCAAGCAGAATGCCTATCATGTCCCAGGTATGATAACTTTCATTGCGTTGACTGCCGAGGGCCTCCCAAATTGGAACATCAAAGGTCAGGAATCCAATTTGATTGTATGCCCAACCAATTCTTCTACCAATTGCAGGCATTGTTCTGAATGTCCTTGCTTTCTTAAAATCAGCTGTCACCACACACACTGCTACTTGTCCTCGGCAGTTGTTAAAGTAGAACACCCATTCATGTTTTCCAGAGGTATAGCCACGCCCATCAGGGGTAAGGATCAATGTTGTGCTGTAGCCATTTCCTAATTGTACAAGATAAAAAGAAGTCAGATTTTAGTTTCATAGTATCATATGGTTCGAAATTTGTTATAAATGCTCTTTTCAGCAACCTCCCTTCTCTTTTAAGCTACTTCTGTAACAACTACCCAAACATTAGGGTGCCCCCACCACCCTGCCCCCCGGGGAAACAAGCACACAAACCAACCGAATAGCCTGAGTATCAGGCGTTTCTGGGGGAAAAGGGGAAGATGGAAGCGAAAAAGGGAAAGAACTTCCTTTCTCTTCTTCCCCCTCCCCCCTGCCCCATCTAAAATCTCCTCTCCCCTAGCCGCTTGGGAAGACCTGATACTCAGGCTACCAAACGAACAAATTAATTGGTAAGTATATAATGACATACTATGTAATGTAATAGTATATAATTACATGTGACCTGTAAAGGTGATTGTTTCATTGTTGTTTGAAAAAACAACTTCATCAGAACTGCAGTTAGGATCGAATGCAGCAGGTTCGTCGTATTCCCTTAGCCAGTTGATGATATTTCGTGGAAGTGGCAGCCTCCGAAGACGCTTTCTGCTTCCCACCGCCCGAATAATCGCACGACGACATAGAACTTGGAGACTTTCACAACTCTTGAGCATTCAAACAAGGGCTTAAAAGAATATGGTGATGAAGGAAATGCACAAACCTTTCACAGAAATGCAAAATGTCACAAAAATTTTACACAGCCACAACACATAACATTTTGTTTTGTTATTGAATCAAGGGTAGAAGCGCGCAGGCATTATGGGTATTCGGAGTATACAGCAAGGCAGCATACATAGAGTAAAACAGTGGGAAATGGCGGAGAGCAACGTAAGCATGTGAACAGAGCGACTGCAATTTGCAATTGTAGGAAATAGCGAAGAAAGGACATCATGATGGCTGCAGTGGAATTTTTGTACAACCCATTGGATCCGTAAAATGTCCTCTCGAAAGCTACGTCGTGTGCGAGGTGTACGACCAGAAATCGTGGAAAAACTTGCAAAACATAAGATAGTCACGTGCAAGGTGAAATAATTTAAGCTTATTGATCAGTACAAAAATAGAACTGTTTAACAAGGTAGCAGGCCTTTGGTTATTTCTGAAGCGTAGAGAACACTTGGTTTATGGCCTCTTCTGTGTACTACAAAGTGATGGTATTATGATGATGATGATGATGATGATGGTGGTGGTGGTGGTGGTGGGGGCGGTGTTCATGACTACAATGACAATTAAGATGATGATTTTGACGAAAGGATATGAATGATGACAATGATGATGATAATGTTGGTGATGATGATGGTGATGATGATGATGATGAGGCTCTGCCAGGGGTGTCCCATGTCACCCCTCTGAATTTTAAAACATCTCGTGTCAGTGTTTATAAATGCTTGTCACTTATTGTCGGCTTTGCCGTCACTGTGGCAATTTGGCCGAGGGAGGTTGTCTTTTGTCGTGATTTCATTTTAGGCACTGTCGCTACTTTTTGGGCCATGACGCTTGTCGGAACTTACCCTGGCAGGGCCTCAGTGATGATGATGATGATGATGATCAACTTTGTTCCACAGGTTAGGTTGGATGATGGAAATTATGAAAAATTAAATCTGGTCGGTTATCTGAACGATTATTGCAAAGAGCAGCCGCGCAAAACTTGTGACTCAAATTCTTTTGTTTACTTGAAGATGCCATGTTTATGAGATTCGCGCGAACGATAGCCCTTAGGCCTCGCTTTCATGCAACTTCCGGTCTTAGGCTGAATCGGTGTTTTGCTGATGACAAAATCGGCTAGAGCACAGAGCCAGTTAATGGAGGGTGGGATGTTCCCAACATTTAACTTGAGTATAGATATGAACTTTATTTGCTAATGTTACAATCCCAGGAGTGCCCACACTCATTGATCGTACATCTGACAATCCTGTAGTGATCCTTATCGAATCTTAATGAA